TGTCATGAGACACTCTAGCAAAAAAATCACGGTTTTAGTAACGCAGTAACGCAGCGTTCCTACGGGAAAGTAACGGTAATCTAATTACTGTTTTTGCAATAGTAATCCCTTACTTTACTCGTTACCTGAAAAAAGTAATCAGATTACAGTAACGCGCCCATCTCTGAATAACACTGATAAGATACGAGGGCTGTGATGCATGTAGCGGGCCTCATCCTCAGACTGACTGCACACAGAGAGTAAAACAGGAAGTTCTGAGAAAACCGTCATCTCTAAACTAAGTGTTTCCTGTCACGTAGACGAGGCAGAGAAACAGAGGCCACTTCCCAACCGGTTTTACACCTTTTATTTTTACTTATATTTTATGTGTCTTTACAGATTGAATTTAGCTCCACATGTTGATGTGCTGATGGAGCACTCACTGTGTTTGGACCTGAGTGATCCCGATCTGTGGCTGCAGTTTAAAATACCTTTGAATGTTTCTGAATCCTCCACATTTTCATTATTTCCAGGTCAACGTGGAAATGTGAGGGTCAGACTGGGACATTAATGGGACTGTTTTAAAATGAAGATGTGTTTCCAACTGTGGAGCAACATTATGGACTCATGAAGTGAAAGCTTGCATGAGGCACATGAACAGTTTCAGTTCATATAAAGAAAACAGCATCACAGTCTGAGTCACATGCTTCCATTTATCAGGTTTTTTCGTTTGTTGTGTTTGTTTTATGATGCGTGCTGATGTGCACAGGAACATTTACGTGCATGCAGAGAGACATTCTGTTAGTACACATATACGCACGAACAGCAGCTTCATGGGATTTAGCTACGTCCAAGTCTGGAAATCATTTTCATTTTATATTCAAACTCTGGACTTTTGCTCGTTTCAAGCTCTGGGACTGCAGTAGCGTAGCTTTGCATCACAAAAGCAGAATAAACACAGAGCAAAACTTAACTTTAAATGTTCTTATCGGAAATTTGTGGTTAAATATACTTTTTTTTTTTTTTGCCTGTCCCGTTTGGCTCTTTTGCATCAGAATTGTTGTCTAAAGGCAAAGAAAGATGCCCAACGGACCATCCCAGCCGTAATGGTCTATTTGATTCACCTTTTATTGTTTATTTTATTTATTTTTTATTTTCACTTGCTAGATACGGGACAGACTTGACTGGGGAAAAGAAAAAGGAGAAAGAAAGAGGGAAAGAAAAACAGCGGGGAAGAGGGACGGGGGTAAAGGACAAAAAACAAAAATCAACAGAATAAGCAGACAAAAAAATGCATATATCAATCACCTGGATCACCTGCTGAGAAAGAAAAAAGAAAACAAGCAGAAGAGAACAAGAGTAATAGAATAAACAACATCA